TGTTGGCTTGTCGGTTTCGCAACCAGTGATAACGGTTGGCATTGAAAATAAACTAGATATCCAGAATTTTTGATCCTATGAAAAGCCACATTTTCGTCAGAGCGTTTCTTCGAATCACTGATGCAGCTGGCAACTTCTCCACTTTCCTCAATCCTTCACTTATCAGTAATGAACTACCGTTTCTTTGCCGTGGGGCAATTTTGTGTCTTTATAATAAATTGGCATGCCTATAGACGGATCTACGCCTCAACGGCACAGGCACCAGTGCTGCAAAAGCCCGGATCTAAAGCTAAAATTAAGGTAAACTAAAGCTTTAAGTAACTCTAAGCAGCTGTGTTATAACTCTTTTCCTAGTTTTTGCATAGTTCCAGGCTGGGTGAGGGCTTTCTTCCACCGCCTCTCTCCTCTTCCTGGAGTTCGTTCTGGATCCGCCTGTGGAACGCATTTTCAAGTACTCGAGAGTAGCAAGTGCCAGTAGCAATCATCCGCCGGTAAAGTTGTCGATAACTCCTTCATTTGAGGATTGCTTAGAAGCAAGCTGATGAACAATTTACCATCGAAACGAATGATCGAGTTGAGCTCTTAACAAAAGTTGAGCTCTTAATCTCTCTGCTAATGGCCCGCTGAGCATGTTGAGAGGTAAATGTGCCCAGAAAAAGTGTTTATTTCAGCAACCGATTTTATCAAACAGGAAGATGTTCGTCTTATTGATATCACAACGGTGGATGCGGTGAAGGATAAGCCAAACTATTATTCGTCACCCATTGTTGATAACGAAACTGCATGTTGGGTATGTTTTTTGTGCATAGTACTTCACAAGTTCCAACTTAGCCGAAGAGAGGGAGTGGATGGCGAATGGATACTTAGCTGGATGAGCGAGTGGACAAAGAGTGGAAATTTAGTTGAAGGGGAAGTGGACAGAAGAGAAGCATACCACGTGCCCAAAAAAAGTCGGTAAAGACGCACACAAGCACATGCACAGAAAACCCCTCGACAATATGATGTTTTTGCATTGCATAGATGCAAAAAATACATAAAAATCTCATTTTTAATAAAACACATGGATTTGATTGTCTCCCATATGCCAGTCCCAATTTACCTTGTAGATACGAATGAACTAATCGTAGGGTTGTTGGTTGTCTCGTCGGCGGGGTCGAACCCTCGAAAAGAGGGAGCTGTTGACAGCCG